GGGGGGAATCACATCCCCAAAGCTCACCCCACACATGCAGCCTTTGCAAACCATGAAAAATACCACATTACAAGAAACTCAAATACCAGAAGCTACCAGAAATTCAGCACTTTTGCGACAACTATTTAAAGGTCACGGTAATTTGTTTTGTTCTGTAGTATTTAGGAGTACTTGGAGTTAATTTTCCCCAGGGGACCAAGCAGACTGTTCAGGCTGTACGAGAAGCGACCAACACATCCTCAGTAGGGCAAATGCAGCTCGCCTCAAGATTTAGAGTTGTCCCAGCAGAGCACCGCTGGCTGATTTGGGGTGTTACACGTCCCTTCAGGGGAAGAGCATGTCCGGAGCATCTAACTGTTTTTAAAGAGATTAAGTGTTATTCTTTGCTTCCCCCTCCCCACGCAGAGCTTGGCTATTATCTCTAGACCGCTGAAGCGGTCATTTTGGGATTCAGTTCGCTGCTCGTATCGTTACTGTCAAGCACGAGTGTGTCCAAAGTTGTACGCCCCCCACATCCACCCTGCTTGCTCCTGCCAAAAATACACTGCACCTAGCAAAAGAGAAGGCTGTCCATCAGCTCAGGACCTGACCGCACCAGTCCTTAAACAAACCTTTGCAGCTTAGTCGAGAAAGCAGTTGCGTTTCTTGAGAGCTGCAAACCATGCCTTGTGTGCTCTGCTTTGGGGAGTACCTGTTCACCGCCGTGAACAGGCTCATCACGGAGACACAGAGTGCTCGGTGCATGGCAAATCACTTCTGACTACTATAACTAGACAAGGTTTGGGGAAAGGAGATGATTAGGTACTTGGAAACAAAGGGGAAAAAAGAGAGAAAAAATAAAATCACATCAATAGAAATTAATGTGAAGTTTAGTTCAATTGCTAGCTGCCATTAGGAATTTTCCTCTGGAGCATCTCCTGGCCACCAGCATTAAGCAAACACCTCCAGAAACACTTAATCCTTTGAACATTATTTCGCAGAACTGACATACACCTCGGTTATGATTCTCGAATCTGTTTTACATATCTTTATCATCAAGTCTAACAAAAAAGTAAAGGGAGATCTTAGTAGTAAGGAGACTGGAAGGCTGCTAAGTTCAACGATACCATAATCGAGTTCAGTGAGCCAGCAAAGCCGCAAGTGCAACTTTGCTTCACTCACCAAATATTTTACCAGAAGCTTTCTCTTTTAGGAAGTGTGATTTACCGGCCACCTGGCTCTCCTCTCCACTGCGGTGTAACAACGCATCGCTTGGGGAACGGTCAGCCCTGTTCTTCAAAGCTTTCTATTTCTAATTGCTACCCAAGCCATCGTGTTTTGTTAATCATGGATCCTCCAAAGGATTTCTCATTCAACACATCATCTTCACAGTTCCCAGGCTCCTCCTGGTACTGCGCTGGGACTAAACACGGCAAAGGGGACCTGGGATTGGTGCAGCAGGGCTCAACGTCTCCCTCTTTCCTGGCATTCTGGGTTTCTCGCTGCTCCATGGAAGATACCACCTCCAGATGACACAGCCCCAGGGAAGGAAAGCTGGCAACAAAACTGACATGTCTTTAGGTACGCAGGACACAGTGTACCTTTGGAATAACTCAGCAGCTAGTCTAGCCTCCCAATTAATACAAATCATTAATCAACTTACTCCTACACGGACTTAAATAATATTGGAGTTTTGCTGAAGCTTAACATTAGGAAATATAATCAGTCTTAACTTGCAGATCCCATGAGCAAAACAAACTGAACTACCACTGTAACTCTGACAGTCTGTTTTGTTGTTCAAATGCATACTTAAACTTGGCTTTGCTTAGATTTACTCTCTAGACATTTGAGTTTGCTGATGATCTACCCCACTAACAACGTACTTGCAATCTTTCAAAAGGGACTTTTTTTTTTTTTTTTTTACATCTTGAATTATATTGTTCTTCTCTGAAACTTTTCAGCACAGCTTTGCCACATCATGACACAGAATTCACTGACAATGACTCAATTACTTGTCTACTACCAGACCTAAATCTTTTCCCGAGTCATAATGTTCTGACAAAACACTGCTTTCCCAGCCTGGAGTTAGGGTCTACGTTCTTTATTCCTAAAATGTAAAACTTTATACTTTTCTGTGCACAAATAAGCCCAGTTTGTCAGCAAACAGATAACTATTTTCCCTTCATTGTTGGTTATATCTCTGACAGTCCTTACCGTAAACGCACGTTATCAAAATGGTGCTTTATGTACTTTCACTTAGACGCACTGAAATCAGGTCAACCTCTGCTTGGTACAACGATCTTCAAAGAAGTTTGCCAGATGTCTTGCAATGGCATTTTTGGAAACTAAAGATGTTTTACTCCGACGGCATGTCAGCACCAATGCGCTGCTCCCAGAGTGACGTCCTCTGTTGTCACGTTATATACAAGTACTCAAGGAACAATGTGCTTTTCCAGTTTACAGGGTGGAGGGAGGAGACAGCGAGAACGGGATTCAGCTTAGCGACATTTTTGACAATGAGGACATCTTTTTCTGGGCAATTCTTAGTTGATTCCCTCGGTAAACTAACTGGCACTTTTAAAGCAGTTGCTCATATATTTTGAATATTTGAGGATGAGATCAATGTCCTCTTAGAAGTTATTATTTCTCTCTATTGAACATGGAGTGAGACAAGGAAAGCCGTTCCAGCAGAGACTCCTACACCGGAGAGGTCTACGTGTA